ACCTCCCGTAGTATCTTCTGTCGTCACATCAACAACTCATCAGCATCGTCTTCTACTCATCACACGAACGAAACCAGCCCCCCCGAACCTCCCGTCGTAGTTTCTGTTGTCGCATCAACAACTCATCAACAATTCATCATCATGGTCTTCTTCTTCATCATCATCATCATCATCATCATCATCTACATTACGTTGTCTTACATGCGCACTGGGTCGGAAAAAGTTGCAAATGATGCCAAAAGGGTGGCTTTTAAAAATAAGCACGGCTACACGTTCGGTTTCCGACCCGGAGGCAAAAACATGCATGGTGCTGGACAGACAAATACTAATAAGATATATATATATATAATATATATATAGTTCTTTTTGATGGTGACTGCATCATTACTGGATACCGAGTGCCGAGGTAGTGTTAAAATTTCTAGAGTCTTCGCTGGCGAAGGCAACCATTCAAATTCACGAGTATTTGGCCCTGACGTACGATTACGAGACTGCAAGTGGCACTCGGGAGTTTTGGAAGCAGGCCTGTGCGCAAGAGGCTGACGTGCGTCCTGTGGTAGAGCTTGTCCAGGAGGACGAGGAAAGCTGGCGAGTGTGGGCTTGTGGTTGTGGAGAATGTGATTCATGTGTCTCGCTTGAATTTCACAAGCCCGAGTTGCAGTTGTTTGAGCTACATGCCTGTGCTCTGTAATTGCTTTTTGGCAGGTGTTGCTAGGTGTTTCTCAATTTTATCATATTTTATCAATTTACGTAGGAACTGACCACCTGGCTCTCCAAATGCAGTTTGCAAAAGTCAAAGGCAGCAACATCGGGCAATACAGAATCTCAAAACATTATTTCGAGACCCTTACTGTGCGATCTGCTAACCTTTCTGATACGGATGAAACTAAGCGTTTCGCTGCTTTTGCTATTCGCATGAGACCTCTTGCAAATTCCATATTTATACTGGCAATACGATCATGACCATGCGCTTTAGGCACATCATAGGTCCCCCCATTACAGATCCCCATGCCCATCGCGCAGCAAATATTGCTTCAAAACCTTCACAAGGCGCAACCAGAGTGTTGGTTGCATCCATAAAGTGACACATCGAGAACTCTAGTCGGCCGGCGGCCGCGGCCACCTCACTAGACCTATGCCATATTGTCAATCATTTCGCAGTCAGCTCTGTAGGCAAGAACTCAGCATCACGATGAGTTCCTGATACAGAAATCTTCAAAGAGTGCAAAACCGTCAAACATTCAGGCGGATACGTTCCCGACATTTGTACGCGCATCAAATTCCATGCCAGACAACAACTCATTCCAGAATTGAGTATGCAAAGACGGAGCCACAAGCCTCAACAGTCTAATCAGAGACACCCTAAGCGACGCAGGTATGCGAACTTTTCTTCTTGGAAGATGTCCGAGACCCATTCCCCAATTAGGTTCGCAACAAATTTTGAGTTTGCACTGCACCACGGTTCGTAAAACCGACGCAAATATGCCTTTAGATTTGATGCAAAGCTGAGAATCTGTGTAAGCCTTTGAATAGCATTTTCTTGGGTCATGCCTTTCGTATCGCACTTTCGCCTGTAGCGTCCCGGTGTGTTTTAATTGTTCTTTCCGCTCTCCTGAACAATATGTTATTTTTGACCTCAAGTGTACAAACCCTTTTGTACTCCACCACATGGTGAAGGAGCAGGAAAGGGGCAGCGAAGCGAGGGGACTGAGCATTGTTCGGAATTATTTATCATCTTTGAATGATGTTGCTCGCATTATTGTCATGCTCAAAGTGAAATAATGCATGCACAGAACGCATCAAGCAATGGAGTAGATCCATTTATATAGTTTGGCATCGTGCCACGTCGTTCTGACATATTGGACAAAGATGCAACGGTCATTCCAAAGTGTTGAATTGATTATGGTGAAGGGAACCAATGATATGCTTTTAACTCACATCTGCAGCAACAAACAGAATTCTTTCCCAAGACCAGTTGAGCGCTGCACGGTGCATGCTTTGTTGCTGATTGTGGGACCACTTCCATGTTTACTCCTTTATTCTGTTCTATATATATGTATATTGAAGAGCTCTGATGTGAGTGATCCATGTTTTCGGTGTGGACATCCTTGATTCCAATGAGTACATTCAATTTGTATCAATTTGTAAAACCATGACTGCCCAAGGATCTTGCAGCTTCCTTTCTGCTAGAAGCAGACAGAAGTATCACACATAGAAACGCTTCGCAGAACTGCCGATGCCAGGTAGTAGGTAGTGTTAGTGCATGTCAAAAAACAAGCTCTACATCAGAACTATTCGATTCTATTGGTGCGATATTTGAATCATTTTCTGACGGCCGGACCCTTCCACTTTTATGACCACATCCACCACATTAAGCCTTTTTCAACACGCTGTGCAACCCCGCCCAAATCCAACCCCAACTGCACAGGCACCAATGTCAAGCAAGCGAGTCAAACACCACTTGATTCTTGACAGCACATGAGCACAGTTTCGCAAAGGAAGGACAAACAGACCAATCTTGTGACTCAAGACATGCAGCATCTAGCAAAAGCAGCAGAAGCATACAGCCCTGGTATATATCGTATCCTTTGGTATCCTTGTCGACTATTCCTTGGTACATGCATTACAGTCTGTAGATTGGCGCTGGACAGGTTTTTGGGCCTTCATTGAACTTGTGGAGCACTTGACACGTGGGTCAACTTAACTGGCACCGCAGTCAGCTCTCTCCTGCCAGCTAGGTAAGAGCTGCACCACTGTTCTTCGCAGCAATGATTCAACAGGGCAGACCAAGCTTGAGAAATCTGAATTTGTCCGACATAGTACCTGTGGCAGCGTCCAAAACGTAAGCTAGGCTTCCTTGTTCCCCACATTGACGTGTGGGTGGGTTATTTGTCATCAACCAATTGCCACCCACCAATTGTCACACAACCAATTTCCACCACTTCTCACCAACCAATTGTCATCAACCAATTGCTACCCACCACTTGTCATCAACCAATTGTCATCAACCAATTGCTACCAATTGTGATCTGCTTGCTAATTGTCTTCTCCAGGGGGTGGGATGTACGCCCTGGCGCTGGCTGGCGCTGCTGGGTCTCCGCCGCTGTTCCGCTGTGATTTGCGTGCGAGGTGTTCAAAACACTGTATTTTACAGGGTTTTGCGGGCGTGGAAGATCCACAATTTGGACACTGGCGAAATGCAAAAACCATGGGTTTTACAAGGGTGGTGTCGGCAATGCCCGCCGCCCGCACGTGCATAATCGGAATTTTTTGAGTCATGGGCCCGCGTCAACGCAAATGGCGCAAAATGTACCCCAAGATGAGCCAACAGAGGCCCCCAAGATAGGTCCAAGATGGGCTAACATAGCCCCAAGATGGCCTAACATAGGCCCAAGAAGGCCCAACATAGGCCCAAGAGGGGCCCAACATTGGCCCAGAGGGCACAACATAGGGCCAAGATGGGCTAACATAGCCCCAAGATGGCCAGCCAAAGCCTCTAACGGAGCATGAAGGTTCACACAGCGCTGTACCTGCCACGAATTCTGCGCATGGAGGTTCACAAAGTGCTGTGCCTGCCACGAAATCTGCACATGGAGGTTC